TTTTTTAACGCATTTGCTATTTTACGTGTTGTAGTATAACTTTGTTGGACGTATATTGGGTCCAAGGGGAATGACTGCAAAGCAGTTGGAACAGGAAACAGGATGCAAAATTATGGTCCGAGGGCGAGGATCAATGCGTGATAAAAAGAAGGTAAGAGAATGCTACTTTCAGTCTCGAAATTTATCTAGAGTTTTTAGGAAGAGTTGAATCGTGGTAAACCAAATTGGGAGCATTTATCCGAGGATCTGCATGTGCTGATCCAGTGCGAGGACACGCCTAATCGAGCGCGGATAAAGTTAGCGAGAGCTGTTGATGAAGTCAAGAAACTTCTTGTGCCAGCTGTAAGTTTTTTGACTGCCTTTTGACTGTTATCTGATCCGCAGTACTTCCGAGAACGAATCATACTATGAAAACGTCAAGACTTGTGTGCATGCAAAGAAGACAATGAGCCTCGGGAACTGGTTCATGAGATATTATATTATTTAATTATTTAACCCGTTGGGACAAATATTGGGTCATCAATTTTTAAATATAACAGTGTTCGATTCGGGTAAACTATCCCTACCCTATTTTCCTTTTGTCCTGTCTGTAGTGCTATTTTCAATTTGGCCAAGAGTATCCTCAACATTGACACATTTGATAATCATCTGCTGTCACTAGAACTAAAAGGCAAGTTAGTATAGTCATATTATTGAACATGTAGAATGAAGTGATCGCAGCATCTCGAATTTTTGCATTCTTATTAGGAAATGTGACGTACATTCATTCCACTATCCGTATCTCTATGAGAAATGGTGATGGAGTTGACAGAAGTGGTAACGCAATGCTAGTAAAGTATAAACAAGCTAGAACAGGATCGTTTAACGTCGCTTCAACCATAAGTTATAACAACAAGAGTGTTTACAAGTGCAGTGGTTGAATAGTGTTCGGCAAATGATATTCTGTACTTCCTGATTGTACGGGCATGTCTTAATGATCATTTTGTCTATAATGTGCTTTCGGGTGAGTATTGTAAAATCTATAAAACGCATGCACTTTTTTGCAAGAGTTTGTATTTTCTCAGAAACGTTTCAGTTTTTTCTTCAGTTAGTCTGCGCATAATTGCATTAACATAAGCATGAGTAGAAAGCGGATCTAATCGGTCATTCATCGCTGAAAAAATGGTTTGCAGCTTTTTTTACAGTACCTGAAGGTGATAACCATTTGTGTTTGTTTTGTTGCTGCTTGTAAAGAATAAAGTGCGCACGCGCCAAAAATAGGTCCTTTCACTTGTATGGTTAATGGTGTGTACTAGCAAACAAATGTCATTCGGATGGTATCGCCTGAGATTTGATTGTATTAAGAGATAACCTTCTTTGCTGGGTACAAGTTTCTTTTAATGGAAATTTTGGGAAAAAGGTAGTGTCTAAAAAAGTAACAGCATGACGAATCTTCACAATGAGAGCCAATGCTACGCAGCAAAAAGTAATTTGCTTTAGTTTCCAGATCATTGGTATTATTGCAATGAATGCATTTCCTTATGATCCAACTTAGCGCGTTCTGAGAAATTTCTCCTTTGAAATATTCGAATTTTTAACTATGCAATTATTTCTTGTCATCTGTTCCAGTTCAAAAAAATTTCATTTTTTACTCGCATTTTTGAGTCATGCCATATTTGTTTACCTTCGATATTTCATTTTCGAAGGTGATCAAATAAAATAACATTTAAGTCATTTCCTCCATTTTCCATTGAATCTTTATTTTGATTATTTGTACTGCTTATAGCCTGAAGGAGAAGACGAACTGAAACGTAAGCAACTAATGGAGCTTGCCATCATCAATGGAACCTACCG